TTATTCAAGAATAGATGGAATGGGCCTTTTAGAATTATCAAACAACACGTGGGAGGATCTTATATTTTAGAAGAGTTAAATGGTGTAGAATTGTCAAGAAGATATGCAGCAGAACACGTCAAAAGATTTTATCCAAGGGGTATTATTCCAACAGCAGAAGAAGAGGAGGAGGTCACTGATGAGGAAGAGGCGCAATTATAATTACTTAAAGTATATAATAATATTAATTTCAAATAACTAAATATAAAAATATATAATAAGACTAAAAGAATAGAAGAAAAGAATTTAAAAATATAATAAAGAATAAGAATAATGGATATGTTTCACTAGTTATCAATGTACATTTAATAGTAATATTAAGAAGGAGAAGATGGGTAAAGGCGTGGATCAAGCCAACTGGGAAGTTCATAAATGGTAGGAGTATATTCAGAATAATTATAATCAGTATATGGGGAATTAACAGAAGGAATTACGGGTGGATCATTATTAACTATTGGAAGTTCAGTATTAGGAGGATTAGTAGAAGGAGTATTATAAGGGGATAATAAAGCAGCATTTGCACGCTCAGCATGATTAATAAATGGAATAAAGGTGGATACAGTTAAATTTTCATCCTCACCCTTTCTGGAAACATATTCAGCAATAGAATGGGCACGCAAAAGATGATAATGATTATTAGTAATGTTGGGTACTTCATATCCAGCTTCTTTAAACTGTCTTATAGTATCATCCAAGATCCTCCAAGAATGCCAATTTTGATAAGTAATATAGTCAAGTTTCCAAGCTAAGTTATGTTCATATAATTTTTCGAAAAAGGGGTCAGAAGTAGTAAAATTGGTTTCAATTGATGAAGTTATTGAAGGGTTTGGAGAATCAGGAGCTGAAGGTGTATTGTGTTGATTAATCTTATAAGGATTTAAGAAATTGACTCTGATAGGTGTATTAGGCGTGTTTGGAGGTGGGAAATTATAAGCAGGAGAACCAGGTACAGGTGAAATATTGGTAGAAGGCGCTGCTGGATAGGCTAGGATTAAAAGAAAATTATAAAAGAAAGTATAAAAGGAATAAAATTAATTAATATAAATAAAAACATTGAAGATTATTATAGTAAAAGAAATGAAAGAAAAGACTCACAGCATATTATACCAAGGTTATGGCATCTTTGACACGCAGGATTTATTTGATATAAGCAGGAAGAATGGACCATGCGGCATTGAACACAAGGTGAAGCAACAGATGGAGGTGTAGTGATAACCATATTTATAATTAAGAAGGATATTTAAAGATTTGAGGAAAAATTCGAATTTATTGAGTAGATGATTTATTTTATTGATTGGTAAACTGGGGGCAGTTTGGGAAGAAGAGGAGGATGTGGTGATCTATTTATGATATTAAGCAAAAAAATTAATCATCTTTACTTTACCAGTTTATTAGCAAACTTCAATATAGCAGAGAATTCGAGATTCAGGTTTTCAGATCAATTGAAGCTCTTAGAGGCTTATGTATACTTATTAGCTCATTATTATGTCATCTTATTTCAAAATTATTATTAAGATCAACATAGTTTACTTACAAAGTTATCACAAAAAGACAGAAAAAGAAAAGATAAGAAAAATTCGAAAATATAGGTGTAAAAGTTGGAAAATGGTTTTTAGCTTATTTATAATTAAGTTATGGGTTTTATAAGGTTAGAATATGAAAGAACAACAGTTTATTATACAGGAACAATTTTATTATTCAAGGTTGATAAGGGGAAACAGAGGTTATTAGCAGAAAGGTACTTTTTCGAAGTTGGTAAACAAGGGTTAGGCGTGTAGTTTACATATGTAATGGTGGTAGTGATGGAATTTAAGGTTGCCAAGAGGATTTTCCGGGATTTTTAAGGTTATAGAAGATGATGTCATATTACATGATCAAGGAAAAGGGAGTAGCAGCTGTGAAAAGTGAAGAAAATAGGTGAAAATCGTCGAAAATGGAGGTTTTCAGCTAATTACATATGTCAAATGACGTCAGAAT